TCCAGTTTGGCAGAAAAAAATAGAAAATACTATTTCAATAGTTATGAATGTTATGAATTTTTTTCATGATTAATGAAAGATTCCAGATTAGTATAAGGTTTTAAATATTGGTTAACAGCTTTTTATTGCAATACATATATATTTCAATAATCTAGTTCTACTTTATTTATTTTTTTAGGTAGAGAATTAAGGGCCTATTAGAATATACTCTACATAATAAATAATTATCACAACAATGATAAAAAAATGGTAGGCTTAAAATATTTGTTTCAAGTAAAGAACAAGAAAGAAGACGAATTTTCATTTTTGTAATACCTTCTTAATAAATGAATGAAAATTGATACATATGGAGTCAACTATTTTTCAGGTACAAAGTTTTAAAAGTATACTTTAAATAACTCGAACTAAAGTAACTCGATTATTTTAATTTAAATGTGGCAAAAATATTCATTCCTTCTACTTAAGCATCTATTTCAATCTCAAATTTTCTTAATAATGACATGTTCATAGCAACCCCACACCTATGTGTTCATACTTGTCACGTGGAATCATTAGATTGTTAATATTTATTGTAGGTAAATTAAAAGGTTGGTTGACTATTAAAGTTGCAATATTAAAGTAAATTTTAAGAAATTACTTCTCCACCTGAAAAACTTTATTTTTTAATTTACTCAAGTGCTTCAAGTGTTTTATCATGTAACTACATATGAAAATGGTTCGTCAGACTCTCCGAATATACAGAGAAACTTCGAATGATGCATAGCAAAGATATTCTATTTGTCTACACTAACCCCATGTTCATCCAAGTTCCTCACTCCTAAACATAAAAATCAGATGAGGTTGTTGTCACTCTATACGATCTTCCTCTTCAGCCGTTATCTTTTCAGAGCATCAATTTAAAGTTAAATCTGAAATTTCAAGGGAGTGGAAGACCCCTCCTTGCCACCACTGGTATGCGGGGAAGGAGCTGAGCCCTTCATTTGTTCTCAAGTGTAACAAAGCCTCATGAACGGCATGTTTAAGATTGGCAAGTGGACACACAGTCTCTCGTTCTTTGAGGGGGATTTTTGCTGTCTGTTCCAAATGCCAAGATCAACAAACCGCTGCAGAAAACATTCTTTACTGCTTGGTCTTTCCAGGGAGGATTTTAACGCTTCTCCCTTTCTCATTGTTGATTTCCTGAGAGTTAACGGTCTTATTGTTTTTGTCTGACTTCGCCAGTCAGTCGAAGAGTAAGCTACAACAACAATAAGTATTTTATATTTTATAAATCATGCATGTACTTTTATTATAAGCTTCGTGCAAAATTGTGTCCAGACAACAGTTTCAATTTAAATAGTGCGCATAAAATTTTAAAACATTAATGGGAATAAGCGTTATGCTTCATTACTAAAAAACACTTTTTGTCGATAAACACTTCACAAATTTGAATTATTATAAAAATTTGAAAGGAATTTAACAAAACAAAATTACAGGAAGTTGTCAAGACCATGCAAATTGATTAGGTTAGAATTTTATCTCAAAAGATTTGGTAAAAAAATATGTGAAACAAAATCTTTGCAATCATTTTGAGATCTTTCAATTGAATACTTTTTAACTAAGATGTAACATTCGTTTGTTGTCAAGAAACAAAATTGATTGTAGAAATCGTGGAGGTTGGTGAGCTAAGCCTACGAAGGGGAAGGGGGAAGGCCCATTAGTAAATACAAACATATTGGGCACTTACTTGCTTTAAATTGAAATACCATTAAAACTTCATTTTTTACATGTTACAATGAGAGTTTGAAACATTTTTAACTAATTTTTTCTTCTTCTTCTAGGAAGTGAAGCATGGAACTTTTAAAGTCCAATTATGGGAAATAAAAATTGCGTATAATATTAAGGCCTTTCATAAGCTATTTTTTCAAAAATAGCAAGACTGGTCACTTAACTATTTATATCATGAAGTTTATCATTGAGAAACGAGACATTCATGGCCACCCTATTCAATTAATGATATAAATATCAATATTTTTTACGGCAAATAATCCAATAGCTATATTTGAAAATTAAAGTTATGTTTTGAACAATATGTTAAACTAATTTATTTATTACCGTTGTTAAACTGACTGTTGATCTAATTAACGGACGATAGACTCCTAATAATCAACTTCGTTGTCCATTTTTGTACCCAATTCATAAGACAAGGGAATTTCTTTGTCATACATAGGGATAAACTCACCTTTTTGGAAGATTTTTTAATGAAATGATTACATTCATATTAAATGAAGAGTATCCACATAATTTTAGTATATACTACGTCAAAATAAGCAAATTAATTTTATTACTAATTTATTACATCTAAATGTTACATATTGTATTCGTGGACGTTTTTCTACAGTCCTTTGATCAAGATGACATACAATATATCATGTTGAAAATTTGTTCTTATTTTTATTCTTCTCTCTCATTTTTATATTAAATGAGTATCATTTTCGTAATAGAATAAAATAAATAAAATAAGTATCTCTAATATAGTTAATGAATATAAATTAAAACTATAAATACATTAATAATTCATAACTCTGTCGGGAAAGTCACTCGAAATGTATTAAGTGTAGCTTAATTTCTTCTTTCTGTATGTCACCATGCTTTCGAGAAGTTAAATAAAAAAATATAGTTTTACAGTTCCTAGGACTTTTATTTTGGTTGTAGAAAATAATAATAAAACTTCATAAAGGATTATTTATTCATGCATATTTTTCTTTCTAGATTTTTTATATGTACTCAGAACTCTTGTATTAACGGAACATCATCAGAGCTATTATCTTGCAGTTCGTAATCATCAGGGCGTTTTTCAGGCATTTCGTATCGCAGCATATCCCAGAATAGCTTATCTCCGAACTTGAGACACCTTGAGGATTCCATCACTGTCTTCAGACTCGGATCCATCTCTTTCATGGGTGGAAGAGGTCCAAACTTCACAAGGATGATCCGATGTATCATATTTTCCAATGAATTCGCTAGGGCCTGTCTATATATCTCCATGCAGAACTCGTTTTCCAAGTAGTTTCTGTTTTCAGGTAGTGAACAGAAAATTCACATGATATAGTCGTTCATGAACAAATAAAATTCAGATATGTTTGGTTCTAATCGGCGCAGAATTAAGAAAAGTTATAAAACATATATTTATATTATATTTAACAATGAGTAAGTTACGAAGCCATGGCTTCTCTTTTGACATAAGAAGCATTGATTCAAAAAAGGACAAAAAGTAAAAGTAAAAAATTTTTTTAAAATTCAATCTCAAAGAAATAATAAAACTCTAGAATTTTTTTTTAAATGTGTGCTATATTTTAATTAAATGAAGTATAGTTTTTATGTTTGAACTCTTTAATGTGTAAAAATGTAAAGTTTGTGCCCAAAATGTTTGGTTTAGTAACATCGAATAGATTATTGAAATTATTTAGAAAAGTACACATATAGTTGCCAAAAATATTGATTGCTTAAACATTATTTTCTAATAGAAAAAAACGTGTGCCGCTACCAAAAGAAAGATGATACCACCACCGATTTGAATTTATGAGACCGTCAACATTTTACCACCCCCTCCAGAGGCATATCTTGGAGAAACAGTTCCATTGACAAAATCGCGTATCGTCGCACTTATAGACGTATTTTCTATAGACGCACAATAAAAAGATTATCTAAGGAATTATAGAGTCAAAAATTGTATTACATATAATCAAAGATTTGCAGAAAAACTATTCTAATTTTAGTAATCTTGCATTTATGGGTGAATTCGGAACATTAAGTAATTATAAAATATTTATGTTATTCACTATTATATCAGATGAAAAGAAGTAGTGACAACTTAACTGGTTTAATGAAACAAAGTCAGATTTTAAAGCTTTTCAAACATGATATAATTAGAGACATAATGATCAGAGTTCTTTTTTTTTATTTACATATTTTTTTAAAATAATTATCACTCATTCTTAGAATTTTTTTCTTCTTTTTTTTAATGGCGGGCACTTGGGGGTTGTCGCATTGGCCACAGAAATGCCAGAACTGCTACTCTATTCTCGTTACTCAGTGGGCACCTGTGGCGAAGCCACGACGGTGGAGCAGCGTCGCCCACGTCACACAACCACAAACCCGTTTATAAGGCGGGTCATATTCACACAATCACACACAAAGGAGAAAGGACATAGAACGCAGGGAGAAAGAAACATCCCTGCCCTGAGCAGGATTCGAACCCGTGACCAGCCGCTCCGCAGTCAGGCACGCTAACCACTCAGCCACCAGGTCGGCCATTCTTTCAAATTAAATTATAGGAAGCTGCTATTAGAAAAGTAATCTCTTTTTTTTTTTGCTGAAGGCCAAATATTGAAAATTTAAGAAGTTTCTGATCATACGTATTATGATCCAATCTAATTAAATTCTTCCTTAATATTATAAATTAATTAAAGAGCCCAATGTAAATTGTTACAGCTGATTATGACAATTGTTACGAAAAAAAAATTCTCCGGCGAGAAACATTCAGCAAATTTTTATAATTTTTCAAAAATTTAAAAAGAGTTTTAAAAAAAAATTACTGGAAAATGTCATAGTAACTATGGAAATTGAAATAGGCTAGAATTTTATCTCAAGAAGTTTTGAGAACAAAATTTGTAAAACCAAATATTTATAACGATTTAGAGATCTGAATACTTTTTAACTTATATTTAATAATTTGTTTATGGACCGTGTAAGGCTATGCACAGATGGCTCTAGAGGTTAAAATTCATAGTAAGTCTTCCGGGTAATTACTTCCGATTGATTTTAATCCATACGCTTGAAAAAGCTTGCCACACATCGAAGTATTTACCATTTATCACGTTTTTTCAATTTAATTTTAAAAGAAGCAAATCGTAAATGAATCCGGAAGAAGAATGAATCAAATTATTTCCTAAATTTCTTCTGGATGGACATTTATTTTGGTAGTAGGAAATCAAAATTAAAATACATGTACACTTTATTTCTAGATATAATATGTACTCAGAACTCTTGTATTAAAGGAACATCATCAGAGCTATCTTCTTGCAGTTCGCAATCAATGCCAGTATCAGGACGTTTTTCAGACATTTCGTATCGCAGCATATCCCAGAATAACTTATCTCCGAACTTGAGACATCTCGACGATTCCATCACTGTCTTCAGACTCTGATCCATCTCTTTTAGGGGTGGAAGGGGTCCAAACTTCACAAGGATGATTCGATGCGATTTCTCCTCTAATGAATTCGCAAATGCCATTCTAAATATCCCCATGCAAAACTCGTTTTCCAAGTAGTTCCTGTTTTCAGGTAGTGTACAGAAAATTCACATGATATAGTCGTTTATGAACAAATAAAATCCAAATTTCTTTGTTTCATTAGAACATAAAATTAGCAAAAATAATATTTTGGTTCATTAATGGTTCATTCATTAATAATAATTTGATTCATTAATAATAATTTGTTTCATTAGAACATAAAATCAGCATAAAATTAATAAAATTATAAAGGTATTAAGCAGTGAATTAGTTACGAAGCCATGGTTCTTTTTCGGGATAAAAAAGCATTGTCCTACATAAATTTATGAGTTTTACTTAAAATACCTAAGTACCTTTAGTTTCATCCCTCCTCGAATTGAAAGAATTTCTTAAAAAAAATAAGATACAAATAGTTATAACTAAAATATAAATAGTTATACTAAAAAAGATAATATTATTTTCATTTTAACAAAAATAAAAATGTCAGCCTTGTAATACTGCCTGATTCACAACCTATTAATACTCAGTCTCAATAAGAGGCTTTGATACTATAAACATATAGGTGAAAGAGTTGATAGAATTACTTCTTTCAACTACTCTACATTCAAGCTTAACGAAAGGGTCTAGCGTCTTTGTATATTAACGGTTCCATTTTTTCAAAAAAGTAAAAGGGGTAGCACTACTACTTTTCAGAAATTATTTCGCAATAATAGGAGAGCTCTATCACAGTATTGTCCGCAAAAGTACACGTCTCTTTTTACAGTGATGAAAAAGATTCTTTTATAAAAGAAATTGTTGTGGACATTTACCGTTGTATAAATCAGATATACCGTTTAGTTCTGTGAAAATTCGTTACAAGTTGGAATCTGTATATTTTTATTCTCATGAATTTGTATAAATCTGGAACATTACCATCGAGTTAAGGAAAAAATGTCAAACTAATTTCATTAATAAAAGAACCTTTCGTTTTACTCTTAACGGAGGCGTTAAAATACGGAATTAAAAAACGAAAAACCCGGAATAATTTTTGATCTAATGTTCGGATCTTCACGTTCTAGTACTCAATCTTAATCCTTTGAGAGGGTGACATCAAATTTGCTTATTAATAAGTACAGACGGTATTTTAAGTTACGAAATCAGAAACAAAAACATACTTTCTCTGAGTTAACATACCTTCTTATCGACTAATTCGGATTTCTGACAATAGTAGCCGTAATCAGGAAAGTATGGTTCCAATAGTTAGGTCAAGAGCTCGAAGGAGTTTTTGCTAAGCTTCTTGAAATACTGACAAAATAAATCAATTTTTAGGTCAGGCATATCAGTAATCCTTTGAAACTTCCTGGACTTGGTAATTCACTTCAGAATAATGCTTTTGTTGCGTAGAAAGTTTTTTTCAGTTAGCAGTTTGTGACATTACACCAGGAAGCTTATGCTTATGACCTTAGTGGTCTTATCATGAAGGTATATAATAATATTTTGAATTTTAGTTGCAGGTGTTCTTGATTGAGAAGATTCTGTAATTTAATTACTGCAGCATTTGCTTGTTCCTAAATGTATAGATTAGATGTACCGTTTAGTTTTGTCAGTTCCTAGAGCTACGATTTTCAATGTGTATGCACATGCTCTTTAGTGCCATATATTCCATGTATCTTTAAACTAGAACATTACCATTGTATTAAAAGGTAAATATCCTACCACTTTCCCTTATAAAAGAACCTTTTCCATAACTGAGAAAAAAGCGTGTACTTTCGCTGACAGAACTTTCTGATTGACCAAATATTAATCTCCCTCCCTCTCAAATTAGCTGCTACATTTAGGCTGCAAATTTTCTCTTAAATTATTGATATTTTTCAAACATGTGTGCCATTAATAACTTCCGATGCAGTTAAGTAGATCGATACCAGTAAAATTATACTACTAATAAATTCACAGATCATGATATTTGCATTTCATTAAATATAGTTAAGGAAATAAAACCGAAAGAAACTGGTACACTTAGTAAGTAAAATGACTGTTCATTTACCATTCACCACTTGTTACGTTAATCTCGACATTCTTCGCATAAAATTAGGCTAAAATACATAGTTAAGGCAATAAAATAGATTGAGGTTGCTACACTTACTTAGTGAGCAAAACGACTGTGCGTTTGCAATCCCCTATTCGTCTCATCAGATTGCTTATTTCGAAATTTCCTGTTTTGATATCTCTCTGGGCAACAAACAATTTATAGAACGGATGCTTCAGTTCCAACACTAAAGGAAAATACAAATGAAACAATGATAAAATTATACAATTGATGACTACTTTCTAGCTTAGAAATTATATTTCATTCTCTTGGGCTAGTTTTAACCCCTTGGGGACGGGTGATTCAGAAAAGCATTCGTACAAAATCAGAATCAAGTTGCAATTAAATAAAAAACGGTAACTTAAATGTAGTCGTTACTAATTTGACAGACTTACTTTGATTTTACTTTAATTATNCAGAAAAATAAAAATGAAGACTAAAACGAAATCCCAACGAAGCCTACTAAGCTATTAGTTGGCAGTTATGAAAAGCTAACCAAGTCTAAACTTTTCTGAAAGTATGCGTAATATGAGTACTCATTTATTAGAGTACTTACTCAGTTATTATGAGTGTTCATAACTGCGATATTTGGCCCATATGTAAAACATTTTTGAAAATGGTATAGTGAAAAGCTAGAATAACGTTTCCTATTTGTCATCTTTTATTCGCTCCGAAGACAATTTTTCTCAAATATCAACGAAGTGACAATTGAATTACAATCAAGGAGAAAAAAGTTTTCATTTAGCCAGAACGTGAACACATCGTCTTACAGTTAACATGTCTGTCCATGTACTATGTTTAATTTTAATGTCACGACGGTAAATGTCATATTAAATAAAAATTTAAAGCTAAAAATGAATCATTTTGGTACTGGTCATTCATAAAAGCAGTCGTACAAAATCAGGATTGAAAAAATAATAATCGTTAGTTTAAATGAGGGCATGCCTAATTTGGCAGAATTATATAAACATAAGAAAGCTTTTTGTAAAAAAATAACTTGTTTATTAGTTATTCAGAAGAGACACCATTTCTTTTTTGTTGTTATAATTACTGGATTATATCGAATTACGAAATATCGAATTTGCCACACTATTAATTACTACATTGTATATAACTACATATCATAATTTAACGTTCATCTGTCATCAAGATTTTATTTTACTTTATTTGCTTTCTCACCTCCACATCTGATTAATTTTAGCTGATTAAAGGTAGTAAGACTTTTAGAGTAAGTATAATTACGCTTACACTTTATAAGTGCCGTAACGAGCTAACTGCAATTAAATATCATTTTACATCATACTTTGAATTTTCGCGATACATAGTGATGGAAAAATTACTGAAAATTAAAAAGATTAAACTAAAAAGAATTTAAATTTCATTACCAATAGAATTTTTTTTACAAATCAGAGCAAGTTTACATCTCTGGATCTATCAAGAATTGAGAAGGGTTGCATATAAGCCCGGAAGCGGCCAAGTTTTCTTATTCAGTTAAATTCAGAAATCGCCACACTTAATACACGCCTCCTATAACTGAAAGCCTCCACACGGTTTTTTGTAGGTAGTCCGATCAGACCACTATTTGGGTAAACCAATTAGTTAAAGAACCATTTAATATAAAATCTATTAAAAATTAGAAAGTGGTTGCAAATATATGTCCAAATTTTTTTTAAATTTATGAATATAATTGTTTTGCCTTATTCACTTGTCAACCACTACAGATTCAATTCTCAAATATATATGATGAATTTCTCTCAAGTACTTTTAAAATAGAACTTGGGTTTATGCGCACAAGTGGTTCGCTTTTTAAATAATTTGCGCAGACTACTTATAAGAAACCGTGTGAAGGCTTTCTAATGTAGGAGATGATGACCTATGTGTCATGTCAGTTAAATGTGTCATGTAAAGACTTGTATTTGCATATTGGTTAACTATGTACATCTAAGTGAATTATTTTACTGCCTAACTATTATGAATTGCTTTCCTTAAAGAAAATGTTAAACAAAAATAAATATTTTAAATTATGTAGACATTTTAAAACTTGCCTGGTAGAAAGTGTTTTCGAACCTCTGAGACGTCTACATCGGACAAAGAAATATAAGCATCGAATAGTTTTCCAACATCTCTTTCGCTTCTTTTTTTCAAACATCTCAATCCTCTTGAATAGAGCCACACTCTTAAATGATATCGATATCGGAAACACAACAAAAGGGAGGTCACTGTCATTATTAAAATCACTGGAATGATTGAAGGGGAAGGTCGATAAAAGTGGTAAGTAAATTTCTTTTTTTTTTAAAAAAAGAAGAAAAAAAAGATAAATCTATGATCAAAACATATACAACTACATTATTTAATGTCATAACATGGAACACAAATGAGGTTGTTTTGATTTCAAAAGTTACATGATATCTGTAGAAGCTTGACGCCAGTAATAGTAGGTATATAGCAACTTTTCGCCGGCCTGGTGGCCGAGCGGTTAGCGCGCCTGATTGCGAAGCCAATGGCTGCGGGTTCGAATCCCGCTCTGGGCATGCATGTTTCTTTCTCTCTGTGTTGTCTTCTGATGTGTGAATGTATGAATGTGGCCCACCCTATGAACGGGTATTTGTGGCAGTGTGGCGTGGGTAATGTTGCTCGCCTCCGTGACTTTGGTTCACAGGTGCCCACTGGGTAACGATAAATGAGCAACACTTCCGGCATCGTCTAAGGCGAAGAACGAAAGCTCAGTGCCTGCCGTTATTAAGAAAAAAATATTAACTTAAGGATAGTCCGATCAGATCACAGTAAAGGAAAACTAGTAAAAATAAGAAAGTGGTAGGAAATATTTGTCTAAAAATTTCTTTTATTTATAAATATGAATAGTTTGTCTTATTTACTTGTTAACCATCACAAATTCGATCTCAAATATATTCAATTTAATTTAAATTTTTCTGAATTACTTTTAAAATGGAATTGGGCTTACGTGCACAACTAGTTTAATTTTTTAAAAGTCTGCGAAGACTGCTTATAAAATAAAACTGTGTGGAGTTTTTCTGATGTAGAAGGTGATGACTCAGCTGTCGAAGGGGGTGGAGGGGGAAAATTGTAAATATGCTTTTAATTCTTCCTATTTAATTTTCCTAAATAAGCTGATATTGAATATTTACTTCATTTAGTAGTATCTTTCGATACATGTAAATTATCAGGCTGCACACCCAATCACAGTTTGAGATATAAAGCATGCGGTATTTTAGTTTATCAATTAAATTTTGAGACAAAATGATGCTAATACAATTCTGCAATCAACCGTTTTTGAAAGGTAATTAAATTGTATACAGTAGCCTGTTATTTATATTTTTGATAGGTATCTCTGTTTTTGTGTTATTAACGTAAAATTTTTTTTAGCGTCATCTAAATTGGTTTTTATTAGTTTTTAAACAGAAATAAAATTAGATTTTAATAAATCTAAAAACTGAGAAACGCACAGTTTTTGATTTATGAACTTTTAGTCACTGATGTGAACCCTGTTTTTTGGGTGTCAGGGTTCTGAAGACTTATAAGCAATCTTTATTGTTAAAATAATTATAGAGAAAAAAATTCTTTTTTAAATGACTAGATTAACTCTTTTCAGAATCCCGGAATATGAAAGGATTCGATAAGTAATAGTACTTACCCGTTCCCCCCGCTCCCATTAGGATATAGATCTGTGGTTTAGGGCAAAGCTCGAGTTCACTCAGAGTAATTATTACTTTTCCTCTCAGACTTTCTCTGCCTTCTTCAAAGCTGCATCGTACCTCGTTTACATCTAAAATCTGAAAATAGTTCAAATTCTTGACAATTTTATAAGTATTGTTGTATTAAAAAAATGTGTTATTTATTAAAATCGAGAACAGAGTTGTCAGGTCTCAGATAATTGTAGTATGAAAACATCAATTAAGTAAGCTAATTTTATCTGACAGTTAAAAATATTACACTTTAATTATCACAACTTTCACACAATGCGGTGGATAAAATCATTTTTTAAGTCAAATTCCCGAGACCAGTATATTACAAAACACCTGAAAATTAAACAAAATAAATTCTACCTAGTGACAAACTCCTATTTAGCCTTCATTATATGCATTTTTGGTAATTGATTTGGATTTATTACATGCAACTTTGGTAATTTTTTTTCTTCTTGGAAATGCGACAAAGTCAAATTGATTTTTCTTTTTCTCTTGTTATTAAATACATTTATCTACATGATGGCATACTTATTTATATTTATTTTCTTGAGTAACTATGCTGTTTTGAGATAAGCTAAATAAAAATATACAAAATTTGCAATTTTTGAATGTTTCAATTGTTATACCTATTAAAAGCATCATTAACCCAGTAAAATGCTGAGTCCTAGTGTTGTCCTGAACGGTGAACCTTAATATTCGTTAAAAAAAAATATTAGGGAATTGTTGTTTAACCAAGATTTTCAGGGCAGAAAAACGCTCAAAACTGAATGTTTCACTTATTTTGGCTGCCATAACTAGCCAGCGGTATATTAATAACAAAGCGAAACAAAACTTCGGGGTATAGTTGCTTTCCTTATATGAACCCCTTAAAACATACTTATGTTTTCTTTTAAAGAAATAGCTTTGAACAGTGATTATGATTATTATGCAATCATTTACTGTAACAATACCAATACAAATTACAAGTATAATCGATTATTGTTATCGGCAGAACTTTAGGCATCAGACATTTATTGCTAGAAGTTTTATTAGTTTTTATTCTGAAGTTTTGTCATGAACTTATCTCTTAGTACTGAAACTACTGATTTAAATAAATACTTTAAGAAACTTATGAAGTAGTTTTATGAAAAGGAACTATCCTACTTGTAAAGGAATTTATTAAAAAAATGTTATCATATTTGTATAAAATATGAACAGATATAGAAGAATTTTGTGTTCACTCCGGCTTTGTGCGTTCAAGCAATTAACCTTTTATAGCGTATTTTTTAAATTTGTAAGTTTTGGAGCATTTTAATAAAATTGAATTACAAGTTAGGTGGTAACAGTTTGAGTTCGAACTTACCGTAGAATTGTGTGCTATGATCCACTTTCTAAACGGTAGAGTATCACAATCACACCTCCACGGGTTTCGAGATAGAGTGAAGGTCTTGACATTAGACGGCGGATTATTGAAGAATCTTGTAATATTGTTTTCTGCCAGTAAAAGAACCTTTAGGTTGTTTGGAAGACTGAAATCCAATCGTGAGATAAAGTTTCTCTCCAAATTTAAGATACGTAGCTTGGACGCTGAAGGAAGGTTGATTTCGACTGGATTAGACAACAAGTTTTCTCGAAGATTTAGTTCCATAGTTAATTCTGGAAATCTAGTTGGTATCTTAGAGAAAATATTAAGATATTCTATCACTCAAAAAAATATTTTACGATAGAAATTTTTATAAAAAATGTCTGCACTGCACTGCACAAAAAAAAGAAAAAAAAATGGGAGCCCATTATAACTTTTGATTTAATGATCAGATTTTCACGTACTCAACCTTGATGGTTCGAAAATCTATTCTTAAATATGCTAAATTATTAGAGTAGGCAATATATTAAGTAACGAATTAAACGTGCATAACGCGTTTTCGAATAAACATGACATTTTTACGAGTGATTCGGATTCTTCACCTTCCAAATGTGGGAGGCTGACCCGATTTGGAAAATGTTGTCCCGATAGTTCGGTGAGAAGTGTGGGTGACAGTTTGGACCTTTTAATATTAATTTCAATTTGATGTTAAAACGGTTTATTATAAAAAAAGTACTCTTTTTTTACTCATTAATAACTCTTTTGACATTGCAATATCGTAGCTAAGAATGAAGTAGAAATTCTTGTGCATTTGCTTCCCTCAGTAGTTAACTTTAAATTACGAACCCTAAATTATGACAACCAATTAGTGCAAACGATACTTTAAATCACGAATACATACACAAAATTACTAACAAATTTAAATACATGGTATTTATTTTATAGTTAAGCCTGCGGATCATTATAATTGAGTCTTAATTTTGAAAAATCCGATCATTAAATCGAAAACTATTAAAGTTGTTTGCGTTTTTTGTGTGCATTGTAGATTGCGCTTTATAAATTTAAGACATTCCATAAAAGAGTTTGACTTTAGTCTATTAGAACTAAATCGGCAAACATACAAAACTGGTTTGTAACTTTTATGCAAGCATAACATTTTTTAACACTAGGTTTACGAACGTTTCTTCTATACCTATCTCCACGAACACGCGTCAATTTGACGCATGAAGAAAAAAAATGAAAATATGAGGTATATATTTATGGAAAGTTTTTATTATTCAATAATTTTACTATACACGTCTCTCTAATCAATTGACATCCCCCTGACATCATTGACATTCTGCGTTTGTTCTTTCCATTATTGTTTATCGGCGACAGTTGTTTATCGCTTGTTTCATTTGAGATAACGATATTGGATAACGGATCGAAGTATTGTCTGCAAATTCCTATTTATTGCTGATGTGATGTTTGCATGTCTACTCAAAATTTTGTCTAAATTACGATCGCGTCAAATTGACGCATATCCGTAGAGATAGGTATACCACAAAGAGAATTTCAATATTTCAGCGCTTTTGAAGAAAATAGACTTCAATATATTATTTACCTCGATCAGTGGATAAAAGTCATTACAAGAGATAAAATAAAAATGTTAACGGGTTTTGTAATTTTCCTTATAAAATTCGAAATGCGTCAAAATGACGCGTCCCGTGAACGTAGAGTTAAATGTTTGAACAAAAAAATAAATAAAATAAAATAAAGATTAAATCAAAAAACAACGTAAATAAAGCATAAATAAAGTAACGGAATAAACATACTATAATTTTGATTCTTTATATAAAAACTTTTTATCAGTGCCCTAAACACTGAATGATAATAGAACAGTAAAGTAACAAACTCTTTAGTAACCAACTATTCAAAACTTTCCTCTAAAATTTAACGGAATAAACATACTATAATTTTGATTCTTTATATAAAAACTTTTTATCAGTGCCTAAACACTGAATGATAATAGAACAGTAAAGTAACAAACTCTCTAGTAACCAACTATTCAAAACTTTCCTCTAAAATTTAACGGAATAAACATACTATAATTTTGATTCTTTATATAAAAACTTTTTATCAGTGCCTAAACACTGAATGATAATAGAACAGTAAAGTAACAAACTCTTTAGTAACCAACTATTCAAAACTTTCCTCTAAAATTTTTTTTTGGATTTTGATAAATATTATGATATTCAAAGGGTAATTAATCCGGAGAGGTTATAAAAAGTTATAATAAGTACCCTTGTCAAGCCTTTTGATGCGCAATTCACATTTGCGTATCCCTTGTCTCGGAAAGCAACACATGAACAATCACAATACGATGGACAGTCTTCTTTTGGCCAAGATAAATCTTCTTTAGTCAATTGGCTGAGCTGTTTTGTTTTGAACCTGATTGGCAAAGAACAAGTAAAGTCCAAAATTGATGTATTTAATGCTGTGTTAGCCGTCATCCAATCTCTGATCCACAAAATGCGACAATCACACACCCAATTATTTCCTGTAAGATAAAAAGAATGTAAATAACTTAAATTTGCTAAACTGGAAGAGTTTAGCTGATACTGCCGATTTTACTTCTTATAAATTTTGAACTGTTAAAATTTTATTAAGGAATTAATTAAAAATATAAGATACTTCCACTCAGTGATGAAACGTAAGCCTTAAAAAAATAATAAATCCCTTGATAAAAATTCTTTGGATGATTTTGATGAGAAATTTATACTCATATATAAGAAAAGTAACATCTCGGTAATCAACGTACAGTGCGTAAAAAAATGATCGGACCATCAATCTTAATGATTCGAAGGGGTAATCTCAAATATGTTAATTCATTAGTGTAGAATCAAATATGCTAATTAATTAGTTACGAAATCAGAATGAAAAATGTACTTTTTCAGAATAAATATACCATTCTTTCGATGGATCCAGAACTCTGATCATCGAAATGTGGGGAATAGCCTCAATTTGGGAAATATTCTCCCTATAGTTTGTTCTGGAGAGTTTTTTAAAGTTTGGACCCCTTAATGTTAAATTTACTTTTTTTTTTGTATTTTCCCATACCTCAATTTTTTTTTTAAACGAATTGAAAATGCTTTTAACAGAATTAAAAATTTTGGTTTTCCAATGAAAATTCCTGGCAAATAGAACTATAGTAAATATTTCTTGCTATTTTATTTATTAAATTTAAAAAAAAGTTGATTTGTAAGGTATACAGCTTTTTTCATAATTTTGAAGAAAGTGAATCTAGATGGTAAAATACAAAATTTGAGCGAAATCGGTAGAATATTTCCTGAGATATTGAATTTTAAGAAACTCTAATCTTCTTACCGTAAACCATCTTACCATCTTCCGCTTACCATAATTAATAATTAAAGAATGAAAAATTTTCAATAGCCACTTGAGATAGTTGTTATTACTTTTTATGACTATCACCACTCGATTAACGCAATCCTTGCTATGACTGAGAAGAGAATTTTTTTTTTTGATATTCCGATGCAAACTGTTGGGGATTAAATGTATTTACCAAATGCAAATATTTCTTGAATCTCTAAACCACCTGGAAACGATTCTCTTGGAAAAGTTTATAGTCTATTACTGGACAGTTTTTATAACCTGCACTTGATTTTAATTATAACTTTATTGGCCATGCAATCGCGTAAAGTGGCTTAGCAGTTACACATATTCGAATTGAATGTAAGTCATGACGCGGAAAATTAACTTTGAATTAACCCTTTGCACTTGAGACTGTCAGTCACCAATGTTGCCTGCAAATTATCCATCACTTTAATTGTGAAATTTTTTTCATCTTAATGTTTAGTTACCACTTCATTCAGTGATCTCCGGATATAAGTTTGTAGTCCATTTTTTCCGTTCATTTTTTTAATTGATGAAAGAACTTCGAGCGCAAAGAGTTGAGAAATTTTTTTCGAATTTTCCGATGCTAATCGCATACCTGCTAACTTTTAGGCATTTGGCGTTTTTTGTTATTTTTATATTTAAAGTGGTAGTAAATATATACTATTTTTTCTTTTATAAAATTAATTTTAAAATGATTTTGATTACCACTATTCTTAAAAAAAAGTAAGCATATATAAACACGTATTACTATTACATACCTGCGAACTCTTCCGGATTTACCAAAAAATTTTATTTTCATATTTAAAGTGGTAGTATATATATTCTATTTTTTTTTCTTTCATAAACTTAATTTTTAAATGATTTTGATCAACACTATTCTTACAAAAATTAAGCACATATATTAATATGCATTACTATCATGGTTATCGACTTAAGTTTTCTCAAATACAACGTATTTGTTTGCTTAAAATTGAAGTTTTATTTTTATTTTAATACCACTGGGAAAAATTATAATGGAAGGGATTAAAAGTTGGCAGGTAAGCTATCATGGTTGTCAGCTAAAGCTCTTTCAAATACAACGTATTTTTTGCTTACAATTGAAATGCTAATTCCATTTTACTACCACTGGGAAAAATTATTATGGAAGGGATTAAAAGTTGGCAGGTATGTAATCGAAAGAGATAAAAATAAGCTTACCTGTTGTAATTATTTCTTGAATCTTCAAAGCTCTAGGAAACGATTCTCTTGACAAATCTATCTTTTTTAATCGTTTTAGTTGAAAAAATACTTCTGAATAGATTCAGGAAATACATTTCTCAAAGAGTATCAATCCTTAAAGCAATGGATTTGTATGTTTTGTGCTTGTTTTCTGAAATTCCGATGAAAATTGTTGGAGATTAAATGTACTTACCTGTGGTAAATAATTCTCGAATCTTTAAAACATCAGGAAATGATTCCCTTGACAATGTTTTTAATCTATTAAAAGACACATCAATATTTCGTAGCTGGTCTAGTTGAGAAAATGCTTCTGAATCGATTTGGGAAATATGATTCGTCTTGAGTATCAATTCTTCAAGCGATGGAATCGACGAAAAGCAATTTTTTGTTATTTTACTAAGACGGTTACCATGCAAATAAATAGTCTTCAACGATTGCATCGATTGAAATGTATAATCGCAAGATTCGATTAAGTTGTCACTTAAATCGATATGTTCCAAACGATTGTTTCCAGAAAACCATTTTGTAACATTACTTATATTATTTTCTTTCAGTTTAAGACTAGTCAAATTTTCCAAATTGTAGAAAAGGTCTTCAGGTATTGTTGTCAATAGGTTATAGCTTAAATCGATATTCTGTAAAAAAAAGAGAAAGTCATTAGTTTGGAATACATTGACCAAAGTAATTACAACATGAGCCAGAAAGAAGAATGCTCTTCTGTTTAAGAAGAATTCTCTTAATGCATGTTAATTAGTTTAGAAGTACAATGGGCAATATTTAATAGTGGAGAGTTTGATAAGTCTTTATTTGAAAGAGTCGTATCCGATTCTGAAGAAGAAAAGTTGGTGCTGATTGTTTTTAGTTGTGTTTAGAAAAAGAACTTTTAGAGTTGTATAAATTAACTTCAATAAAAAATGAATCCCTGATCCTTAATATGGAAGCTATAAAAATGCCTCAGACTACCTGACAATTACAAATATGCTTTCTTACGAAACGATTGTTTAGAATCTGATGAATGATCGCAGTTAGTAGTGTAAATGAATAAGATATATGGTTAAGCATAGGATAGAATGAGAAGGATGCCAAAATTTGTTCGACGGGTGATTGGAAAGTCAATTAATAATACTTGAAAACCAGATTCTAGTAATATTTCAGAGTGACAGGAGAGAGGAGACGAACAAAAGTTGCCAAAATTTAAATTCAGAAAGAAAAAGGAGTTTCATCGGAACAAAAAGAATGATCACGAGTAGACAAGAGGAAATTTTTAGATGATGCTTGTTCCGTTTACCAGAATTCATCTAACCGAAATGGAAAAAGTCTGTGGAAAGGAAAGGTGCTTCTTAATGTATTGCCTTAAAAGCAGTTCTAAGGTATATCAATGTACTAAGAGAAAAATAAATATGCATAGATATTCTGCCAAAGATAAAGTGGAGTTTATAGATGGCTTAGTACTGAAGGTTCCTGCAGGGGATTAAGAATCACTCTGTGATACTGCATTCTTGTAGGTCAGTGTTTCCCAAACTTATGACTTTTGTGTATCTTTTCTAAATTTTTCGCAACTCTGTGCACCAATAATAAGAAAATGAATGTATTTTTTACTACAAAAAAATTCCACAAAAATTAAAAATCACAATTGTCTGTTGACACCACTAATTATTAACTGTTAACTCTGCAAAAAATAGCCAATAGAACAATACGTAATCGTAAATTTTCATGACTAGCTTTGTTTTTGAATACAATTTTTTGAAATTTTCGTTTGTTGCAAGATATTTCGCATAAGAACGCGTACCCCAGCTAAACTGTTCCCGTACCCCTGGCGGTACGCGTGCCACACTTTGGGAAACACTGTTGTAGTTTGAAGATATGCTGTTTAACCCAGAAAAAAGAAATAAATATGGCAAATGGTACTAAGGAAGATATAGGCAATCGAAAGAATTATGAAACTAGCAAAAACATACCGAAAACAACTCTTGCAGTTGGGAAAAATGCTCTTGTGATGGAAAGTGGCTACGGAAACTGCGAAAAAGGAAATTAGGTTAGAGACGTTAGCGAGGTTGCATTTATAAAAAGCATAAGCCAATCAGCACGAACTGAGTGCGGATAAGATGAAATGGTAATATTATTTTACCCGATTATATTGTAGCGTAGATTTAAGTCAATATATATTTAAATATTTAAAAGAAAGCCTCCAGATCTGAAAAAACAACAAGAAAAATTCAGTATATGAAAATTATTTCAGTCACTGCCTCTATGTTTCAGTTATTAAATAATACAAAAATGCAATTTAGTTATGAAGTTGTCATGTTTGTAAAAAGTTGAGTTAAGAATTATCTATATCTAGTAACTTTGACTTTATAAGATTTTGACTATTAAACACTTTGACTTTCTAAGTAAAATTTGTTAATTTGTAACGAAAGCTTTAAATGGAAAAGAGTTTTCCTCAAATTTAATTTTTAGTATTAAACAACATTTATTAAAAATGATATCGGCATTATATATGGAAACGCACAAATTGTTTTATTTCATATTCCCATTACATCGTGTTGTCCAGACCATCATTTTAGGGTATTATCAGCACTTATTAAATTTTGTTTATATCACAAAATAGTGTTGGTTGAAAAAACCCTCATCATATAAAGCTTGCAGAAAAAAAAGTATTACCAAGGATTACTTTAAAAGTATTGTTAAGGATTACTTTAAATACTTGAGCATTTTTCAACGATTTTTTTCCACATTTTTTCATTTCTGGAAAAGAATTATTTAGGTTAAATTAATACAGTATCGTGACTAACAGCCCAAAAAAGGAAACGAGAAGAGCATTGTTCACTGACTGATTTTATTTCCCAAACTCTGATACTTATTTATCTGAAGCTAGACAAGCTTCACGCTTTCACTTGGAATAAAGCCTCAACACTTTACAAGGATAGCTCAGTGTTTTACCCGTTGAGCCATTGATGCTTTCACTATTCTCAATATATATTAAAGAAGATAAAAATAGAAATAGATTATAAAAATTACCATCAAACTAGGATTCTGAAATAAGCCGTCAACTGTTATCAGATCGTTCTTGTCCAATTTAACCAATCGTAAACTCAGGCAAGGATCAAATGTTTTATTATCTAAGATCTTCAACTTATTATTTGTTAAAATAATTGATTGAAGTTTAATATCACCAATAAAAACACTGCCTAATAGTGAACTTATTCTGTTTTTAGTCAATGAGAGGTTTATAAGTTCAGGCATATATTGAAGTTCTGTTGTAATCTCAGTTAATCTACCTTTCACAATCTCAAGTGTTTTTAAATTCTTGATACTACTAATGGCACTTGGAATTCCATGAAATCTTGTTTCAGAAAGAAGTAGCTTAGTCAGTGATCTAGTATGATCGAAGGCGTTGTCGTCTATTCTTTGAAGGGGGCATCTCACTCTTATTTCAGGTATCTTGATATCAAAAAATGTACTTCGAAATAAACGTAGCCTTTGATATTTTTTTGACATTTTGCAATAGAGACGCAGTTGAGCAAATGGTTTTGATTTCAAATTACGAACTAAGAAAGTTCTAATTGCATTAAAGTTAACCACACTTTCGCAAATCACTCTGGGATTTTTTCTCACATATCGCACCCTGCATGCATCCTTTTCCGTGTCAACTAACAAGAAAATGCTAAGCATCACAATTGAAACCACTAAAGTAACATTCATTTTAGAAATTATAGCAAAGAGTGAAAGTTAGTATTTGGAAGAAAGCAAGCATGCAGATAAGTCTCGCATTCTGTTATCAGAACGCTTGATATTTCTGAATAAAAAGTGACTCGTTGTGAATAATAAAAAAAGAACAATCATCTTACACCATATCAATCGAACTATAATGAAGTTTTTAAAACTCTTTGAAATTTTTTCTTATTCTGATCAAATTATTTTCAGAAAAGGAGATTATCTTCAACGTATAAGAAATCTGTTAAAAGGAAGCTATTTGTGATAAAGATAACGCTTTAAGAATATCAATTTGAAAACAAAGATTGATACCAACGATCACTTTTGCGATCTGCATACCTATTCTAATTTTTAAGAAAAAATACAAAGTACTATTGAAATAGCTATGTATGTTAGCAATTTTTTAATGAAGAATAAAGCATTTCATGTTAATATAAGGTTTGAAATATTGGTCAGCATTTTTTAATTACGTTACATATATATTTCAATAATCTAGTTCTAGTTAATTTATTCTTTTTAGGCAGAGAGTTGAAGACCTATTTAAAAATACTCTAAGTAATAAATAATTATCATAATAATAATAAAAAGTAGTAGGTTTAAAATATTTGTTTCAAGTAAAGAATGAGGATTGATTTTCGTTTTTGCAATACTTTTTTTAAAAAATATCTCAGATTACACTGAAAATAACGTAATTGCCTTCTTGCTAAACGATTGCTTTGAATTTGATGAATGGTTGCAGTTAGTAGTGTAAATGAATGTTACACATGATTAAGCAATGAACCCAGAAAGTGTAACGGTTATAAAATGAAATAAAATCGATCAACTAAATTTGAGTACAAACAAGCTGTTACAGTTAACCAAACTTTAAATTTTTTTACAAAAATTACAACAAATAAAATAGAACACAATAAGTAAAAATAACAAGTAAAAAAATAAAATAAAATAGAATAAAAACAGAATAAAACATAATCTATAAAGCGAGTAGCGAATTCAAATGTACTTACATGAACGGTAAATTTTTCAAGAACGATTTAAAATATTTTCGTAACAAGATTGCCAGATTGCAAAATATGAAAACATAAGCGGATAGTGAGCGTAACTAAAGGAGTTTTGTTTTGAAGTGCCGTTCTTACTGCATTGCTGAAGTGCGTTTGATTTGTTAGTTACCAAGGATAGGCCCGAAAATGGATGTGTGCAGGGTAATATTGTACTGGATGATTTAGAGAAGTTGACGATAAATAGTTTTAGAAAATAAATATTTATTGAAGAAAAAAATATAAAATGGAAAAGAGAAATATGAATTGTCTGTTTTGCACGTAATTTTAGCCATGGATTTGCACATGGAAAAATTTTATAAATTAACAGAGAAATTTTATTAGTAGATAATTTTAGCCACGGATTTGCCCGAAATGAATTTGCACGTGGAAAAATTGCATAAATTAATAAAGTAGTTTTTAATAAATAATTTTAGCAACAGATTTGCCCGAAATGAATTTGCACATGGAAAAATTATATTAATTAACAAAGGAATTTTTTTAGTAAAGGAATTTTATAGTAAATAATTCTGACCGCGGGTTTGCCCGAAAAGGATTTGCACATGGAAAAATTATACAAATTAACAAAGAAATTATTTAGTAAATAATTTTGGCCACGGATTTAATCGAAATGAATTTGCATATGGGAAAATTATATAAATTAACAAATAAAATTTTTAGTAAATATATCTACAAAAATATACGATTAATTCAATGATTTTATATAGAATTTTATTACTTTATTTGGGTATCCATTGTTTTTTTATCAAATTTTGAAAGAGCTTATAGGTTTGTTTTTTGGATAAATAAATATTACTTCCATATTCTTTAAATTCTATTCATTTCATTAAAAGCGGTATTTAAATAGATGCTCCTAGAAACATTAGAATTCCAAGTAACTAGTTTATTAATATTAAAATTAAAATCATTTCTTTTATCGTATAAATCAACAAAGCAGATATTTTCAACTTTCATAATACCCAAATCCAAAAAATTGAAATTAATATTATCATCATGATTACGAAGTAAGATTAATTCCTCAGGGTATATATCACTCAATAAAACAGTAAAATCTTGGAAATTAAAGATAATTAAGTCATCAATATATCTAAAAACAAATTTAATACTAAGAGTATAATTTTTTTCATAATAATGCAAAAATAAGTTAGCTAGGAGAGATGAATAATTAGATCCTTGTGGTAGCAATGCAGTAAGAACGGCACTTTAAAACAAAATTCCTCTAGTTACGCTCAATTTGTGCTTACGTTTTCATATTTTGAAATCTGGCTATCTTAATACGAAAATATTTAAAAAAAATTATTTTAAATCATTCTTGAAAAATTTCCCGTATATGTAAGTACATTTGAATTCGCTTCTCGCTTTGTAGATAATGTTTTATTCTCTTTTTTTATTTTTATTTCATTTTATTTTCTGTTTTTACGTGTTATTTTTACTTATTGTGTTCTATTTTATTTGTTGTAATTTTTGCAGAAAGTTTTATGAGTGCTCCTCACACTATTGTGCTGATATATTTTGCTTTGTCTATATTGATACAATATCAGAAAGCACTCTTTTTTGTGGATATAATCGTGTGGGCTGATGAAAATATTATACCTTTTATTTTCTGGATTTTTTAAAAAAAATTTTATACTTTTTTTCCAGTTGTTTGTTATTTTTTTATTATTATTTTTCTTTTCTCCCCTTTTTTCATATGTCTGTAATTTACCTTTGTTTTATCTTTATTTTGAACTTATCTTAAGAGTTCTGTTTACTTGCAGCTTATGCGCAATAAATGAAACTTATAGTTTTTCTTAATTTTATTCGTGTCCTTTTGTATTTATTTTGCTCTGCATATATATATGGGCCATTCTCACAAAAACTGTCATTTTCATGTCCCCAGTATATTTTATGTTTGTTTTACAACTTACGAAAAAAAATTTTCAGGGAAAGTGTCCTTCAGAATGCAGGCTAACAAAAGAATAAAAATAAAATTATCAATTTTNACATAATTATTATGAATAAAGTCAATGAAAAAATTTAAACTACAACTATATTTAAATTCATAACTGTGTCGGGAAAGCCACATACAAAAACTCAGATGTATTTAATGTCACTTTATTTTTACCGACACTATGTTTTCTTAAAACGAAATAAGCAAAATTATATTTTTACAGATTCTTGGACATTTATTTTGGTAGTAGGAAATCGAAATTAAAATATATGTACACTTTATTTCTAGATATAATATGTACTCAGAACTCTTGTATTAAAAGAACATCATCAGAGCTATCTTCTTGCATTTCGTAATCAATAATAGTATCAGGAGATTTTTCAGACATTTCGTATCGCAGCATATCCCAGAATAACTTATCTCCAAACTCCAGCCATATCGTCGATTCCATGACTGTCTTCAGACTCTGATCCATCTCTTTCAGGGGTGGAAGGGGTCCAAACTTCACAGGGATGATCCGATGCAATTTCTCCTCCAATGAATTCGCAAATGCCATTCTGAATATCCCCATGCAATACTCGTTTTCCAAGTAGTTCCTGTTTTCAGGTAGTGTACAGATAATTTACATGATATAGTCGTTTATGAACAAATAAAATCTAGATTTCATTGGTTTTAATCAGCATAAAATTTATAAAAGTTATAAAGGTATTTAACAGTGAATAAGTTACGAAGTCATGGCTCTTTTTCGGGATAAGAAAGCATTGTCCTACATAAATTTATGAGTTTTATTTAAAATATCTAAGAACCATAGTTTCATCCCTTCTCGAATTGAAAGAAGTTTCTGACAAAAATAAGATATGACTAGTTGTAATTAAAATATAAATTGTTATAACTAAAATATAAATAGTTATACTAAAAAAGACAATATTCTTTTCATTTCAACAAAAATAAAAATGTCAACCATGTAATACTGCCTGATTCTCAACCTATTAACACTCAGCCTCAATAAGAGGCTTTCATACTAAAAACATCTGGGCGAAATAGTTGATAGAATTATTTCTTTTAAGTACTTTACATTGAAGCGTCCTAGCGTCTTCATATAATGACGGTTCCCTTTTTCGCAAAAATAAAACGTAGTAACGCTACTACTTCATTATCAGAAATAATTTTGCTGAAATAGGAGAGCTATATCACAGTATATATATATAGACGTAGACGTGTAAATTTGAACCTAAGTCACGAAATGTTGTTTTAAAAAGAAGTAGTTTAGTGAGTGATGTAGTATGGTTGAAGGCGTTGTCTTCTATACTTCGAAGAGGGCATCGCATATTTATTTCAGACATATTCCTGAGTTTAGAAAGTACATTGTTTATTAAACCTAGATTTTTGCAAATTTTTGACCTTTCGCAATTTCGGCATTTTTTTGTCACTTGGCACTCGAGAAGCACTCGGAAAATTAGCCTTGCTTTCGAATGGTCAGCAAATGTGCTTCTAAAATCACAGTCTCGAAAACCTTTGCAACTCACTCTAAGGTTTTTTTCCCCAAATTGCACTGTGCATGTGTCACTTTTCGTGTCAACTACCAAAAAAAAGCTAAACGTCACAAATAAAATCAATCAAGTTATATTCATTTTAGAAATGATAGCAAAGAGCGAAAGTTAGTGTTTGGGAGAAAACAGGCACGCAGACAAGAATAATTAATTATTCTGTAAGAAGAATGACTATTAAATCATCGCACACCAAATCAATCCTATTCAATCGTAATACTCTATAAAATGAAAGTTTTTTTAGTTACTTTTTTTCTTGTTCTGATAACATGTGTTTGAGAAATGAGATAATCTTTAACGCATAAAATTTCTGTTAGAATGAAGGTTCTTGTAACATAAAGCTATTGTGATATGCTCTAAGAATATCAGTTTAAAAAAAAAGGTTGATACCAACAATCACTTTGAGATATATTCTCATATTCCGGGAAAAATTCGAAAAAGTATTAAAATAGCAATTTCATAATGATGTTTGCAATATTTCAGATGAATTTATGGTTTTTAATCATTGGTTAATATTTTTTTTATTCTACATCAAATGGGGTTGTTTTTAATCTAAAACATCACTTTTATCAAACAATTTATGCCTTTAAGCATGATTGAACAATAAAACCACATGATATAATCCTCACTAATTATTATTTTCGATTGTTTTTATGATCAGAAGTAGTATAAGTTTTGCTTTATTTCTGTCGCATTGGAGAGGGAAGAAAGGCTATCAGCGATATTCGGGAAACATTCCTGAAAAGTATCAGAAGATTTCATTTTTGAACTTCTGTAGCGAGGATGGTTACCCCGTTTTGGTAGCTCGATGACCTGTACGTGAAGTCGAGCATTTAACGGTAAGAGCAGTTCAAAGAAGACCGACACTGTGCACCCTCGGACCCTTCGCAGTCTGATAAAAGGGGCCACTCACTCACCCACTGACCACATTCAGTGATGCTTCACTTCTGCGATTTACTGGAAATCGTGTTTTACGATCAGTCTACCGTGAGACTATTAATTACCGAAAATTAAAACAAAACAAACTAAGTGTTATTAAACGCTGTATTAAATTTCTTTTTTATAATTTCAGGGAAAATAAATTTGTTGCATTTTATTTGAATAAACTTTGTATACTTTGGTTGACCCGACAACTAATTGCAATTAAAAGAAATAACACATGAACAAATGTTTAAAGTGGTGAAGCAATATTAGAAATTACTTTCTCGCTGATTGTTTAATAATAAAAAATAATAATAATAATAGCTATAAAAGATATTAATCGACCTTTAATGGTAGTCAAATTATCTATAAAAATCAGATAAGAAAGATGAGGGAAGTGTGTGGAGTTTTTACAAATTCGCAATATTCCTTTCATATATTAATGAAAATATAAATGAATACCGTTTTTTTAAAAGTAGAATGAAATAAATAATTATTATGAATAAAGTCAATGAAAAAATTTAAACTACAACTATATTTAAATTCATAACTGTGTCGGGAAAGCCACATACAAAAACTCAGATGTATTTAATGTCACTTTATTTTTACCGACACTATGTTTTCTTAAAACGAAATAAGCAAAATTATATTTTTACAGATTCTTGGACATTTATTTTGGTAGTAGGAAATCGAAATTAAAATATATGTACACTTTATTTCTAGATATAATATGTACTCAGAACTCTTGTATTAAAAGAACATCATCAGAGCTATCTTCTTGCATTTCGTAATCAATAATAGTATCAGGAGATTTTTCAGACATTTCGTATCGCAGCATATCCCAGAATAACTTATCTCCAAACTCCAGCCATATCGTCGATTCCATGACTGTCTTCAGACTCTGATCCATCTCTTTCAGGGGTGGAAGGGGTCCAAACTTCACAGGGATGATCCGATGCAATTTCTCCTCCAATGAATTCGCAAATGCCATTCTGAATATCCCCATGCAATACTCGTTTTCCAAGTAGTTCCTGTTTTCAGGTAGTGTACAGATAATTTACATGATATAGTCGTTTATGAACAAATAAAATCTAGATTTCATTGGTTTTAATCAGCATAAAATTTATAAAAGTTATAAAGGTATTTAACAGTGAATAAGTTACGAAGTCATGGCTCTTTTTCGGGATAAGAAAGCATTGTCCTACATAAATTTATGAGTTTTATTTAAAATATCTAAGAACCATAGTTTCATCCCTTCTCGAATTGAAAGAAGTTTCTGACAAAAATAAGATATGACTAGTTGTAATTAAAATATAAATTGTTATAACTAAAATATAAATAGTTATACTAAAAAAGACAATATTCTTTTCATTTCAACAAAAATAAAAATGTCAACCATGTAATACTGCCTGATTCTCAACCTATTAACACTCAGCCTCAATAAGAGGCTTTCATACTAAAAACATCTGGGCGAAATAGTTGATAGAATTATTTCTTTTAAGTACTTTACATTGAAGCGTCCTAGCGTCTTCATATAATGACGGTTCCCTTTTTCGCAAAAATAAAACGTAGTAACGCTACTACTTCATTATCAGAAATAATTTTGCTGAAATAGGAGAGCTATATCACAGTATTAGGTCCTACCAGAACGTTTTGTCCGCCAAAGTACACGTCTCCTTTTACAGTTATGGTAAGGTTCTTTTATAAAAGAAATTGTTGGGCATTTACCTTTGTGTATGAATCAAATATACCGCTTAGTTCTGTGTAGATGCGTTACAAGTTTGAATCTGTTAATATTTGCACTTAATAACCTGCACTTATGAATTTGAAAAATATCACACCAATTTCATTTAAAAAATAACCTTTTGCCTCACTCTAAAAGAAGGAGTTAAAATTCTGAATTAAAAAACGGAACACTAGGAATAACTTTTGATTCAATGATTGGATCTTCACGTTCTAGTACTCAATCTTAATGGTTCGAGAGGGTGACATCAAATTTTCGTATTAGTAAGTACAGACGGTATTTTAAGTTACGAAATCAGAAACAAAAACGTTCTTTCTCTGAATGAACATACCTTCTTTTTGACTAATTCGGATTTCAGACACCCAAAATAGTAGATGCAATCAGGAAAATATGATTCCATTAGTTAGGTCAAGAGTTCAAAGGAGTGTTTACTAAGCTTCTTGAAATACTGACGAAATAAATTAATTCTTAGGTCAGGCATATCAGTATTCCTTTGAAACCTCTTGGACTTGGTAATTCACTTCAGAATAATGTTTTTGTTGCTGAGAAAGATTTTTCAGTTGGCAGTCTGTGACATTTTATCAGGCGGCCTACGCTTATGTCATTCTTGCTCTTAACATGAATGTGTATAATAATATTTTCAATTTTAGTTGTAGGTATTCTTGATTGAGAAGATTCTGTAATCTAATTAATGTAGCATTTGCTTGATCTTAAATGTATATATTAGATGTACCGTTTAGAGCTCAGTCAGATTCTTGTGTTACGATTTTCAATGTGTATGCACATGCTCTTTAGAGGCATATATTCTATGTATCTTTAAACTAGAACATTTCCATTGTATTAAAAGGTAAATATCATACCACTTTCATTTATAAAAGAATCTTTTACATAACTGAGAAAAAGACGCGTACTTTCACTGACAGAATTTTCCGATGGACCGAATATTATACTCCCTCCGTCTCAAATTAGTTGCTCCGTTTAGGTTGCAAATTTTGTCTTAAATTAATAGATATTTTTCAAACAGGCGGTGTGTGTCATTAATAACTTCCGAAGCAGTTAAGTAGATCGATACCAGTAAAATTATACTACTAATAAATTTGCAGTTCATGATATTTACATTCAATTAAATATAATTAAGGAAATAAATCCGAAAGAAACTGGTACACTTAGTGAGTCAAATGACTGCTTACTATTCACCACTTGTTTCATTATATAGCTTATCTCGATATTTTCTGCATAAAATTGGGCTAAAAATAGCCAAGGCAATAAAATAGATCGCTACACTTACTTAGTGAGCAAAACGACTGTACGTTTGCAATCCACCATTCGTCTCATCAGATTGTTTATTTCGAAATTTCCAGTTTTAATATCTCTCTGGGGTACAAATAATTTATAGAATGGATGCTTCAGTTCCAGCACTAAAGGAAAATACAAATGAAACAATGATAAAGTTTTACAAATTACGGTTACTTTCTGGCTCAGAAATTATATTTCATACTCTTAGGCTAGCTTTAAAGCAAAAGCAAAAAAATATAAATGAAGACTAAAACGAAATCCCAACGAACCCTACTAAGCTCTTAGTTGGCAGTCATGAAAAGCTAACCAAGTCTAAACTTTTCTGTAAGTATGAGTATTATGAGTACTCATTTATTAGAGTATTTACTCAGTTAATATGAGTGCTCATAACTGCCGATATTTGACCATTATGCAAAAAAAATTTGAAAATGGTAGTGAAGCTAGAATAACGTTTCCTATCTGTCATCTTTTATTCCTTCCGAAGACAATTTTTCTCGAATATCAATGAAGTGACAAGTGAATTACAATCAAGGGAAAAAAAGTTTTCATTTAGCCAGAACATGAACACATCTTCTTACAGTTAACATGTCTCTCCATGTACTATGTTTAATTTTAATGTCACGACGGTAAATGTCATATTAAATAAAAATTTAATGCTAAAAATTAATCCTTTTGGTACGGGTAATTTATGAAAACAGTCCTACAAAATCTGGATTGAAAAATAATAATAATCGTTAGTTTAAATGAGGCCATGGCTATATTTTCCTTTAAGAAAATGTTAAATAAAAGTTTTAAAATATATAGACATCTTTAAACTTGCCCGGTAGAAAGTGTTTTCGAACATCTGAGGCGTCTACATCTGAGAATGAAATATAAGCATCGAATAGTTTTCCAACATCTCTTTCCCCTCTTTTTTTCAAACATCTCAATCCTCTTGAATAGAGCCACACTCTTATATGATATCGATATCGGAAACACAGCAAAATGAAGATCACTGTCATTATTAGAATCACTGGAATGATTGAAGGAGAAAGTCGATAAAGGTGTTTAGTAAAATTTAAAAAAAAAATAAATGAATAAATCTATGATCAAAACATCAACTACATTTTTTTATAGCATAACATGGAACGCAAATGAGCTTTGCTTTGAACAGTTACATAAAATCTGTAGAAGCTTGACGCTAATAATAGTAGTTATATACAGTAGTCAATAAAACATTTTCAATCACTCACTTTTAGAAGAACTTTCCTCGCTCGACCGAGTTCACCCCCACACGATTTCTTATGGATAGTTCAATCAGGCTACTATGATTATTAGAAACTAGTTATCGTAAGAGCTATTTAATACCAAATCTCGTAAAAATAAGAAATTGGTAACAAATATATGTTTAATTTTTTTCAAAAAAATCTATGGTTATGATTAGTTAGCCTCATTTACTAGTTAACCACCACAGATTCAATTCTCAAATATATTAAAGTTCAATTTCTCTGAATTACATCTAAAATGGAATTCGGGATTATGCGCACAAATGGTTCACTTTTTAAATAGTGTGCACAGACTACTTGTGAAAAAAAAAAGACCGTGTGGAGGCTTTCTGATATAGGAGGTGATAACTCAGCTGTCGAAGGGGTGGAGAGAGAAGGGGAAAATTATAAATATCCTTTTAACCCCTTAACAGTGACATATATTTTAGAAAAATGGACCAAAAATGGAAAATTTTTTGACTGTTTAATTATGTTTTTTATATTATTGAAAAAGTTAACAAATGTTTTTTTATTACAAAAATAAAATTTTAAATGCAATAACTACTGTATATACACTGAGTGGCCAAAATATTATGACCACCTCAGAGTCTTATGCAAATGAGTTATTGCGTCACAGCGTTGTCGATAGAGGGCAAGATAACCATAACACGGGAATGCTGGACAAGTGAGTCATCAGTTATACTGTGTTGCTTGCTCAGATATGGGAAAGAAAAGTGATTTAACTGAATTTCAACGTGGAATGATTGTGGGTGCGAGATGTGTCGGAACGAGCATCAGCAAAACGGCTGCGCTTGTGAAGTGTTCTAAAGCAGCAGTTGTTAATGTGTACAAAGAATGGACAATCAGGCAAAAAACCGGATCTCAACGTCAGACTTGTGGTCGTCACAGGGTACTGAATGCTCGATCAGAGAGAAGGCTGGCCAGTGTTGTGCAGCGCAATAGGAGAGCAACAGTGCGACAAATTGCAAGTGATCTTAATCTAGGAGCAACTGTGAACGTCTCTGAACGTACTGTTCGACGCACATTGCGCCGTATAGGGTATGGAAGCAGGCGACTGAAGGGGTGGTCATAATAATTTGGCCACTCAGTGTATAATTTTTGCATACACACAAAAAAGTAATGGATTACACGCACATCTTATACAATTAGGGAAAATTAAGCAAAATTTTGAAGCTAGATATAATTTTAATTGGTATAATATAATATAAAAACACAACAATATGATTCTCAATACAAAAATTTTACAAATCTTTTACAGTATGGTATAACCTAAAACACCCACCCACATTTCCCACCCTCGACTGAAGTCGTAATCGGTGAAACACTAGGACCACTAATGCCATCTATTTCTGAAACAGTGAATTAAGTATTCTAAAGTAGAAACGAACACTGCTCGGGCTTCACAAAATAGAAACGTTAATTATTCTCCTGCCCGAAATCAGTTTGGGTTCACAAATACTACACGTAGTAGTTGTCCGAACTGGATTCGGACGACACTGGCAAAGGGGTTAATTCTTCAGATTTAATTTTCATAAACAAACTGATATTAAATATTTACTTTATTTCATTGCATCTTTTCGACCCATGTAAAATATCAGGCTGCACACCCAATCACTGTTTGAGGTATAAAGCATGCGGTATTTTAGCTAATCAATTAAATTTTGTGACAAAATGATGCCAATACAATTCTGCAATCAACACTTTTTGAAAGGTAATTAATTTGTATGTAGTAGCCTGTTACTTATATTTTTGATAGATATCTTTACTTTTGTGTTATTAACGTTAAAATAATTTTTTCAGCGTCATCTGAATTGGTTTTCATCACTTTGAACAGAAATAAAATTAGATTTTAGTAAATCAAAAAACTGAGAAACGTGCAGTTTTAGATTTATGAACTTTTTGTTACTGAGTGAACCTTATTATTTGGGTGCCAGGATATTGAAGACTTATAAGCAATCTTTATTGTTAAAATAATTATAGAGAAGAAAATTCTTTTTTAAATGACTTGCTTAACTCTTTACGGAGTTTCAGGATATGAAAGGATTTGATGAGAAATAGTACCTACCAGATCCCACCGCTCCCATTAAGATATAGTTCTGTGATTTAGAACAAAGCTCAATTTCACTCAGAGTAATTATTACTCTTCCTCTCAGACTTTTTCTGCCTTCTTCAGAACTGCATCGGATCTCGTTTACATCTAAAATCTGAAAATAATTCAAACTCATGACGTTTTAAGAAGTATTGTTGCATTTAAAAGAATGTTATATTTTTCTTTTTCTTTGGTTATTAGATACATTTATCTACTCGACGGTATACTTAGTTATCAATATATTTTTTTTTAACAGCGATGCTGTTTTGAGATAAGCTAACTAAAAATATGCGGATTATGAAATTCTTGAATGTTTGAATTTTTATATCTACTAAAAACATCAGTAAAGTGCTTAGTCCTTGTGTTGTAATAACAGTGAACTCAAATATTCGGTAAAAATATAGATTAGGGTGTTGTTGTTTAACCAAGATTTTCAGGGCAGAAAAACTCTCAAAACTGAATGTTTTACTTACTTTGGTATATTAATAATATATCAAAACAAAACTTAGTGATATAGCTGCTTCCTTTATATAAACCCCTTACAGCTTACTTATATTTCACTTTCAAAGAAATAACTTTGAATGATTACTATGCTATCATTTTCTGTAACAATGCAAATTAAAATTTATAAGTATAATCGATTATTGTTTTTGACCCAAATTTAGGCATTAGAGATGAATTGCTAGAAAGTTTTTACATGAACTTTCTTCTCATTACTTGAAACTAATGATTTAAAAAAAAACTTCTGTAGTAGTTTTAAAAAAAGGAACAATCCCATTTGCAAAGAAATTTGCCCTTAACAAACATGTTAACATATTTGTGTTAAATGGTTTGAAAGAATTTCGTAAATCTGCACTAGCACTTCGGTTTTATGTGTTCAAGCAACAAAAATTTTATAGCGTTTTTTTAAAAAAAATTTCCAAGTTTTGGAGCATTTTAATAAGATTGATTTAGCAATTATTTGGTAATGGTTTAAGTTATAACTTACCGTAGAATTGTGTGCTATGATCCACTTTCTAAACGGTAGAGTATTACAATCACACCGCCACGGGTTTCGAGATAAAGTGAAGGTCTTGACATTAGACGGCGGAATGTTGAAGAATCTTGTAATATTGTTTTCTGCCAGTAAAAGAACCTCGATGTTGTTTAGAAGATTGAAATCCAATCGTGAAATAAAGTTGCGCTCCAAATTCAAAATACGTAGTTTGGACGTCGAAGGAAGGTTGATCTCGATTGGATTAAACAGCATGTTTCCTTGAAGGTTTAGTTCAATTGTTAATTCCGGAAATCTATTTGGTATCTTTCAAAAAATGATGAGATATTCTATTATTAAGAAAAATATTACAATAGAAATTTTTATACGAAGTATCTACACTGCACATAAAAAAGCTGGAGCCCATAATAACTTTCGATCTACTGATCAGATTTTCAGATATTTGGACTCAACTTTAATGGTTTGAAGATCTATTCTTAAATATGCTAAAATTATAAGAGTTGACAATATATTATGTTACGAATTAAACGTGTATAATTACGTGTTTTCGAATAAACATAAAATTTTTACTATGGATTCGGAATTTTCACGTTTCAAATATGGGAGGCTGCCTCGATTTGGAAAATATTGTCCCGATAGTTCGGTGAGAAGAATGGCTGACAGTTTGGATCTCTAAATATTATTTTCAACTTGCTGTTAAAACGGTTTATTATATATAAAAAGCACACATTTTTACTCATTAATTACTATTTTGACATTGCAATATAGTAGCTAACAATGAAATATAAATTCTTGTGTATTTTCCTATCCCAATAGTCAACCTTAAATTACTAACCCTAATTTAGAACAACCTATTTGTGCAAACGATACTTTAAATTACGAATTCATGCACAAAATAAATAGCGCATTCAACTACAGCATATTTATAGTTAAGCCTGCGGATCATAAAAACCGATTCTAAATTCCGTAAAATCCGATCATTAAATCAAAAACTATTAAAGTTTCTAGCCTTTTTTTGTGGGCATTGTAAACTGTGCTTTAAAAATATAAACTCATTCTATAAAAGATTTCGAGTTTAGTCCGTTAGAACTAGATCGGCAAAAATATAAAATGGTTTGGAACTTTTATGCAAGCATAAAATTTTCTAAATGTTTGAACAAAAAAAAGAAAGATTACAATAAAAAAGTAAGGTGGATAAAGCACAAATAAAGTAGGGGAGAGTGGGGTCAATTGTAACAGAGCAAAAATTTCGAGTGTCGGGTTCTAGATTTGATTCCTAGGTGGCGCACGAGGTGTATTTAATAAATCTACATGTACACCCCTGCTGGCAACTACTTTTATGTACTTTTGAAAGAGCTACATCACAAAAGATATTTTCACGCTACGTAAGTACTTTTTTTGGTATTAGAATATTATATTGTAACAAAGTAATTTTGTTTAAAATTAAAATTATTAACCGAATATGTAAGTGGACACCTTAATTAACATTTCAAAAAAAGATATTAGTTTTGTTAATTAACTAGCATTGTTTTTAGCAAATGAAGCTGAAATGGCGTCTTGGGGACGATTGTAACAGTAATTAAATTCTAACATCTGAAAATAAACAATCTTATGTTTACAAACCATTACTTAACTCTTTAAGAACCACCAATAGTTTCCTATATCATTTATATTATGCTGCATGTGCATTATTTTATTTGTCACCTTTCACAGCATAAATTAAAATTTTTAGCCCCTTAAAGTTAAAAGTTTAACCCTTAGGTCTCTGCTCATTATTATTTTTACTCCTAAAATATCACTACTATTTTGATCAATAAAAAAATATATCACAACTATGATAATATGTATAATTAACTATGTTTTAGTTGAATTTATCAACTCTTACAATTGAACCCGTACGTGGGGACAATTGTAATAAGTGCACGACTGTCAAAAATTGTTAATAATTAATATAATAACATTAAAAATAAGGTATTCATTTTTTTTCTAGTAGAGGATAGTCTACTTTACTCGTCTGTCAACATAGTAGTGCTTACATGAATTTTTTTAAATCACTTACTAGTAGTGGTATGAAAAATGACTTTAAATCAAATTAACGAAACAAAGAATCATGCATTTGAAAATAAATATAGTTATAGCAAGAAGAAGTTTTACATAAAGCAAATATATAGTGGGCAAACCTGCATTTTAAAACAATTTTTTTTACCATTTCAACTATGATAACACTACCACTAAAGCGAAGCAAGTTAGCGTCTCTTTTAAAATGTTCTAAAAATGAATAAATTGAAATCTTAACGAATATTCCCTGTTATTATTTGAATCACTTAAGGGTAAGATAAGTCAAAGACGAGAATAAGTAGCTTTAGGTATATGATTTTAACAAACAATTTAGTAACCCACTATTCAGAATTTTTCTCTAAACATTTCACTAAATATAATAATATACTAGCCGCTTAAGACGGGCAGCTGTCCGCCACGCTAAAGGTTTTCACAAATAAAGTTTTTTAAAACATAGCAGGAAATCTGAAGATTAGTTGACAATTAAAGTGTTCCTGTCCTGCAATTTTGTCTTTATATCCAGATGAACAGCGACAAATATATCAAAGCGAAGCGTTCTATTTACGTATCGAATATGTTGCCACATTTTTAATACGAAAGTTAAACTTTTCTCCACTTTAATAAATGTAAACTAATGCGAACCTTACAATTAAATTATTAATTCCTTCGTATATTATTGGTATAAGTTGTCGAAAATTAATATTTCAATTGTAAGTTTCGCATTAGCATACATTTATAAGAGATATGCATTTTTAGTTCGCGATCGCAACGAACTATAGGGGGCGTTGTTGTATGAGACGCATACCTGCGATTACTATATGAACCGTCATTCAGTTACTCTGGAGACGTCTTTAATGCAGCGTGTAGCATTGCAACGTTCCTTCTTTAATGTGGCTTATTAAATTTAAAAAAGAAAAATGTTTGATATCCTTTCTTATACAACCGAAAACAAGATGGTATCTCTTTTTTTTTTAAAGGAGGAACATCTAAAACACATCCGAAAAATATTTGTAAATAAACAGAAAAAAATATTTATCTTCTTACTAGAGTTAATACCTAATGCCTGAGAAATAGTTTTACTAAATTTTAAGTTTTAATAAAAATCATTATTTAGAAACTGAAAAACGTAAAGTAAAGAACGCTTACGATACAAAAAAAAAGCAAAACAATTCTAAAAATTCCTTAGATTAAAATAAACAACTTTAATGTTTTTTCTTTTTTGATTCATAATCGGACGTAGAAAACCATTCTATAGAAAACTATTATCAAGAAAAAAATTACTTAAAAGTAAAATTTTTTATTTTATTAAAATTAACACTTACCTGCTTTATAAATCAGAAGAATTCCAAAATGATTTGTTCTTCGATTTTTGTTCATTTTTTAGTGCTACGAAAATGCGTCTTTGCGATTTGCCAAAAATAGAACAAGATGCAATTTTTTTTTTTCCTGAGGGAAATATTTTGCCCATTGTCCACCGAAATCCGATAAACTACTTTGATTTTAAATAAAGTGTTTCGTTTTATGATTTGTCGCAAAAATTTTAGGTGTAGATTGGCGGCACTTAAAAACAGCCAAATCTGTAGCTGTTGTGACGTTAATACATAAGTACCGAATTTTTATTCAGACTTTTCTGAATCATATTACTTGAAACATTAGAATATGCAAGAAGTATACATAAACACATAATGTTATACCATTTATGTTTTCAAAAAAAGTATTTTAACAAAAATTTTTATCTAAAAATTATAAACTATAAAACGGAAAATAAAGAATTCTTAGGATAAAAAACGATTTTAAGAATTCTTTACATTGAAATAAAAACTTTCATATTGTTTCTTTTCTTAT